ATTAACACCCCCATAGCGCCCAAAGTTGGTACCTGATCACTTATATGTTGTCAACGTGGTGAAATTTATGGATTCGAGTCAAAATTTGAAGTGTGATCCTTTTATCGAACATTGATGAATTTATTCATTTTTCATCAAGGTGTACTCGATTGTTTTAAGTTCACTTTTAGCTCGAATTTTGTATTGAATCGTGCTACCTCTATAGATTGCACTTTTCACGCCCATTTTACAAGAATGCGTTCTTGGAAACTGATACGAGTATACATAAGAAATTTGACACATAAATGAAGCATATTGTAATTTTCAAAATATTAATTCTGAAAGATGTAATATATAAGTCAAAATATATAAAATGAAATAAATATATATATATTTAAAATAAGGGCTAGAAATGGAACAAACAAATAAATAAAGAAAACTATACACAAACATACATATATAAAATTTCAAGGAGTAACTTTAAAAGTTCTAAAGTTTAAGGACTATATTAAAAATAAAATAAACTAAAAGTGAACCCTAAAATCTAATGAATTAAAAAAGAAACTTAGAAAAAAAAGTATCAAAATAAAATGTAAATAAGAAATAATTAACAAGCATACAAAAAAATATAAATATAATAAAATTAATAAATTAATGAGTATTAAGGTAAGTGATACAAATTTAAGTAAAATGCTAGTTAATGAATTACAAATGGTAAAAACAAATTTATTAAATTAAATTAATATTAGAGTTAATTACTAAGATAATTAATCTAGAGACTAAATTAAAGTCAACAACATAATACAATGACTTGATTGAATTAAGTATACAAATTTTGAATAGTGACTAAATTGAATAGTAGCTAAAATTGAGCATGAAAATTTATAATTAGAACAGTGACTTAAGTGTAAAAACACAACAAATGTACAAGGGTATGAACATGAATACACCAAATATGAACAATAAACATAAATATGGAAAATAGTGCGATGAGGACAAATAAATTTGAATAAAGCTGAAATAGCCTCGAATTAGTGACCAAAATGAACTTTTACAAAACAGAAAGGGCTACGAAAATTATTAGCCTGTGCGCTAAAATGCAGAACTCCCCAAAACAACGTCATTTTGATGCGAGTATTTAATCCCAAAATTAGGCCGAAAATTACCATTTTCCTCATTTGTTCATTTTCTTGTTTTTGACCAAATGGGGAAAATTCTCTTCTCTCAAGCTTTCCCTCTCTTCTCCTCGCCAGAGGAAGCACGAAACCCTCGGCCACCGCAACTCGTCGTCACTGACGGTGGTCAAAAAACCCAAAGGGTACAAAAATGTACCTCACTTCTCCTCGAGCCCAAATCCTAGGCTAGTTTTCCCTAAAACTCCCTCATACGGCCTAGATTTAAGCATTTACCTTCAAAATTCAGGCGATGTTTGGAGGCTTCAGTGTACGACAGTAAGTCTCACCTCTCCTTCGAAATCTCTTATATTTTTTTCTTTTGTTAATTTGTGGCTTCTTTTAGAAAGAATCTATCTTCGTTTTGTTCGAAAGCCTCTCCATTTCTCTTACTTTTTCGTCTGATTTTAAAGCAAAACTCATTCTCTTTCTTGTTTTCATGTTGTATGTTATGGGTAAAAAAAATCTAATCTTGTTGTTGTTTTTCTTTTTTCTTTTTCGGGCTCTTGTGCACTGATCGATGAAGGAACATCGGCGGGAGACATGCTTCACAAGCGGCGGTGACGTGGATGAAAGAACGGGGTAAAAAATAACCCTGAGGCTCCTTTGATGATTTCTGCGGTGACCGGCAAGAAATTCGGCGACGGTGACAAAAGCACATATCAGGCAGTGGAGAGTCACAGGAGTGTGCATCTCACGTAGAGAAAAAGAGAAGTCGCGTGACGGCAGCGACTTGGCAGAAGTTTAGGGTGAAACCCTAACTTTGGATTGATCTGGACCGTTGGATCAAATCTGATCCATCGGCTGGATGAGAGTAGCGACAAGAGATAAAGGGTAAAACTCTAGTTGAATATGGGCCTTGAAATGGGCCTCTATTTTGGGCCTTGTAAAAAATTATTTAATAATAATAATTTTTGGCCGGTTTGTTAATAATAATAATTAAAAAGTTGGCAATAATGAAAAAAATGGTGATTACATAGGTTATCTTTATATTATAAATGGTTAATGCTAGAAGGCTAAAGATATAAACATAATGAAAATATAAGGGGCTAATTGAAGAAAAATAATAATTAAAGAACCAAAGTGCAAATCCTATTATAGTATAAATATACTTAAAATTCATTTAATAAATAAATTTTAGAGTATGTGATTATTTTTCAAAGTATATTGGGTCAAGTGGTCTTTACACAAACTTGGGTAACCGTCATTTGCCCTTTAGTATGTATTTTGAAAAGGTTAAATTCTTCTATTAATCCTTTTGCTATGCATATGATAAGGTTTCAGTTAACGTACTCTAAGTTATTAATTTTTAGTCTATGTGTTTCTTAAAATTTAAAATGAAAATTTATTTGAAAATATTAAACTTTTATTTGATTATAAAAACAAACTTATAATTTCACATTATTGTACAAATTTACCCTCGCACTAAAATGTTGTCGTAGAACTTTAAAAGTTAAAATTAATAGCAAATAAAATGTTTGAGGGTATTAAAAAATAATTACAATTATGCATCAATTAAACTAACTCAGTGGTTAAGAAATTGTTGCTATTATTTGAAGTCTTGGATTCGAACACCACGTACGTAAGAGTATGAACATAAATGTCAGATGATTGTGAATTTTTAAATAAATAATATCTTACATTCATCTCAGACTAATAAAAATAATTACAGTTATACAGTTTATTCCAACTAAAGTTTTACATATTAATTCTTAATCGTGTTTTCTAAAAAATTAGTCAACCCTTTTCTAAAAAAATTAATGACAACCCTTACAAAGTGGTCCAAACTTGTTTAATCGTCACTTCTATTACTTTCACTTTGTCATTTCATCTATATTATGCAATTTTTCCTGGGTAAATTTCATTGATGAACCTTCTATTTTCGGTCTAAATTTTGAGTCACTGGTTTTGATAAAGCTACTTTCTGGTCACTTTTGTTTTCGCTGTATCCTACTTTGGTCATTGGACCGTAACTTCGATTAATTTATTAATGTGGCATATTAGTAAAAATGGTTAATTTTTAATTTGACCCTTTTATTTTAGACAAAATACTAGCTTGATTCTAAATTTTAAGTGAAATATTAATTTAACCCTAAATTTGAGATAAATATCAATTTAACACCTCAATTCAATAAAAATCTCCGCCGCTAGTCTTGAATCTAGTTTAGGTTGTGTTGGTATTCCGACTAACATTTGTTGCTCAGAAAAGGAAGTCCGAAGTAAGGATCTATCAACTATGTCGCAGTTGTTTCTGCGCTACAAACAAAGGGGTGTACAAGTTTCCCAAAAATCCAGTAAAGAAGGGAGAGATGAATTAGTCTTAGTCTTTGTTTGGTGTGGCTTTCTAAAAGTATTTTTAGTTAAAAAGTTCGTTTTGACAGTAAAATCAATGTCAAATGGCTAAAATATAGAAAAATTGTGATAGAAACAGTGGTTTCAAACCAACCACAAAAGCTAAGATTTCTAACATTTTCATTTTTAACTTTGCGTTTGGAAGCAAATTATAATTTTACCCTTACTAATGCATGTGTTCCACTCAATTATGTTTTTACATTTTTATTTTAATAATTTAATACTAACATCCTTAAAAAATAATTTATTACTCAATAATTTATTTTAATTACTTAAAAATAAATAAAATTAATGGTTTATATATTAAAATATTAATAGTGGGTTATTATAAAATATATTTTTATTATAATTATATTTTTATATTCTAGTATAATTTAAATAGATATAATTCATATATAGTAATAATTTTTTTGAATTTATTATAGTTTAAATTGATATGATTTATATAAAAGTGTAAATATAATTTAAATGTTATGTTTTTAATTTACAACATAGTGTCTATAATGAATATTTTATCTTTTTAAACTCACTTTTTAACAGCAATCCCAAACAGTTAAAGTTTAAACTGTATTTTTGTAGAACACTTTTAAAAATTCGTTTCTACATCACTTTTAAAAGTCACTTTTTGAAAAGCTACACCTAATTGTCTCTTATTAATCCGGGTTCGGAGGTTGAAAATAGGCAAAATGGAGGAGGTTTCTCTGATAAAATTGAAAATGGTAGTGTAGCTATGTTTTGACAACTCTTTTGTTGTTTAATTTTATCTATTACAAGTTTTTTTTATATAATTCAATATGTCCAGAGACGAATATATGATTTTATGTTAGAGATTAATTTTTACAAAATTTTAAGGAACGACAAACTTATTAGATTTTAGAAGTCGAAAATATATTTCTAATAAAAAATAGATAAAAAAACTGAAATATATAAAAATTTAAATTTTTTAAGAGATATTATCGCCCCTACTCACTTTATATTCCACTCTCTTTCGAGAAAACCTAGAAATAATGGAAGTTTTCACCATGAATATTTGCATGCCCCACGCGGTTCAAGTTGAAACTACTAAGGCCTGGCCTGCAATGTTTCTTTCATTTTATTAGAATAAAAGAAATGTTAGGAAAATAGAAAATTTCTGGCATAGAAATGTCTGAAAACAGTAATGGTCCGTCTACAAAGATAAAATTGTCAATTTTAAATATTGTATTATAAACTGAAAATTAAATAATTAAAGATAAAAATATAATTTTACTCAATAATGACGGTAAGAAACTAAAAATTTTAACTTTTGAGGTTAGATTAAAAATAATTTTTTCAACCAACAATCAGTTGGTCTAGTGGGATGAGACACTAGGTCCCTTAAGCAAGGTCATGAGTTTGAATCCTGGCGTTTGCGAATGGAGAAAAATAGGTTGGGAGGGTCGCCTTCGCCTCTGCAATACCCGATCTGGATTAATCGGTTAAAATCGAAGGAGGATTAAGGATTTAGTTATTCCGGGTATGGTTAATTGTTCAAATTCTTCAGCGAGGCGGGTGATCAAGGTGAGTCTCAAAACATCTAAGAGATTTATCAATGTGAAAAGGAGAAAGCAGTGTGTTAAAGGGCGGGGTGAGAGACGGATCGTTAGAAGTAGTTCGGAAAATGGTTCCAAAGGAGGGGAATTTCTTGATGGAGAGAAATGCGATCCTAATGAAGCGGAGATGACTATAGTTGTAGCTGAAGCTTTGGGGTGGAGTTTTCAGGTCCAAGAAGGAGGTGTTACAGAGACTGGAATTTATTGAGTCTAAGGGTTAGTGTTGTTGTAGTATTGTTGTTGGGTATTTTCGTTTTTGTGTGTGCGTTTTTCTTATGGAATCTAGTTTATCCGCTATTTCTTGAAATGTCTGTGGTTTGGGAAAATCTGAAAAGATAAGAGACGTCTATAGGGTTATTGATTTGAATAAGGTTAATCTAATCATACTACTGGAAACAAAGGTCTCGGAAATCAGTGGTTTTCTCCAAAAAAGATTAAGTGGTAATTTTGATAGGGAGGTAGCCTTTGCGCCTGCCGATGGTGCTTCAGGTGGGTTAATATCTTTGTGGGATCAAAATATGTTTGAGGTGTGTAGTATTGTTGTTCTTAGGAGAATGATAGCTCTCAAAGGAAGATTACTATTCAATAACATGATGACAGGTCTTATTAACGTCTATGGGTCGAATGTGCAAGGGGAGAGGAGAGATTTTTTTGAGAATCTGATTGCTATTATTTCTGATTGGAACATCCCTGTGATAGTGGGGGGAGATTTTAATGTTGTTAGGAAGGATTCTGAAAGATTAGGGATTCAAGTTCAATCGGTTGTGACAAGGATTTTTGAAGAATTTATTGCTTTCTGTCAGCTAATTGAGGTTCCTAATACGGGTAGTCAATTTACATGGTACAGGGGTAGGGGAATGTGGTAGCGAGTAGACTTGACAGATTTTTAATTTCAACATAAATTTTCAGTTTGTTTCCTCAACTGGTGCAATTTTCACTTCCTAGAAGATTATCTGATCATAAACCGATTGTTCTAAAAGAAAGGAGGTTAAAGAAGTTCATTAGACCTTTTAAATGGTTTAATCATTGGGCTGATGACTCTATTCTGGCAAATACAATCAGTGATTTATGTGATGTGAATAGAGGTAAAGGTATGAATAAAATTCTGCAGCTGATAAAGAATGCGACCAAGGAAAGAGAGAGAGCAGTAAGAGAAATGAATCTGGATTCTGCTAAAGAAATTAGAAATAAAATTGATTCATCAGAGGTTAAGTCGCTGTCAAATCCTACAAATGCTCAAATCCAGTCAGAGATTACAATGTTGAAGTCTAGATTGTGGTCTGTTATGAGGAATGATGAACGAGATTGGTTACAAAAATCAAGGCTGAGATGGTTTAAAGAGGGTGATAGGAACACTAAATTTTTCCACCTCTCAGCTATATCAAGGGTCATAAAAATCAGATTTTTAAGCTGTTGGTGCAGAATTCAATTATCAAAACACAGGTTGGAATACAACAAGCGTTTGTGAATTATTTTTGTGCTGGTTACAACGAATCGAAAACTATTCCTCTGAAGAGATTTGATATCCCCCTTAAGAGATTAAATGCAGCCACAAGAAGGTTTATACAAAGTCCATTTTCAGAAGACACTACAAGAAATTTAGATTGTTTTAATAAAATTATTTATCACTAAAAGTACTAAATTTTTCACAATATATTTATTCTGACCAATTTTATTTGTTACCATGTTTGTTAGAACAAGCTTGTCATGTAAAGTATATTGTGACAAAATTGTGTTCGTTACCATAGTATAGTATTTATTATAATAATGAAATTTCGTTACTATAATTAACTTATCGCAATAAAATATTTGTCACAATCAATTAATCATTTCATCACAAGAAGTATATTTTGTCACAACTAACTTATATTTAAACATCAAATATAAAGGGGTTTTGTGACAAAAATACATAAGGCAACAACAATTATTTTTGTCGCAGTTGCTATTTTGTCACTAAATGTAACTTACAGAGACAATATATTTGTTAAAATAAAATAATTATTTTATCACAAAAAATAAATTTCGTTACAATTAACTCAAATTATAACATCAAACAAAAAAGGTTTTCGAGACAAAAAAGACATATTACAACAAAATTTATTTTCTCACTACTTTTATTTCGTCACTAAAATTTTTTTATAACTTTTTACTGTGACTAAATAATTTTGTTACAATTTGTTATTATGAAAGAATATTATTTGTCACAATTTTTTATAATGATAAATTAATATTTGTTATAATTTGTTATTTTGATTAAATAAATTTGTCACAATTTTTCATTTTGATAAAATATTGGGACGAAATTAATTTGACATAATTTTTTACTATTGTGACTAAATCATTTTATCATAAAACTTAACGTGTTATTGTGACTAAATCATTTTGTTACAATTTGTTATTGGGACGAAATAATATTTTGATAAAATATTGGGACGAAACAATAAATTTGTCACAATTTGTTATAAATTGTTATTATGACTAAATAAATTTGTCAAAAGTTTTTATTTTGAGAAAATATTGTGACAAAATAAATTTAACATAAAGTTTTATTTTGAATAAATTTAATATGTTATTTTAACTAAATAAACTTGTTCTAATTGATTATTGTGAAAAAATATTAATATTTATTATAATTTATTATTATAACTATTTAAATTAGTCATAATTTTTTATTTTGAGAAAATATTTTGACTAAATAAATTTGACATAACTTTTATTTTAACTAAATTTAATTTGTTATTTTGTCTAAATAAATTATCATAATTTGTTGATGTTACAAAATAGCATTTTATTTAAATTTTTTATTATAACTAAAATAATTGGTTATGATAACTAAAAATATATTTTAATATCTTATAACAATAAAACTTATATTAAACATCATTAAAATAAACATAAAATGTTTAGAATAAATTTGCTAAAAAAAAAGTCCTCCCTATAAATAAAAGTAAATTAAAATCCACCATGAAGATCTATAAAGTGTTCCACACCTACATGTAAATAAAAAAAGTAAAATTATATTAATATTTTAATAAATATTTAAAATAATAACATATGAAATATAATTTATTATTAAAAATTAAATTATAATATTACCTTGAATATATGTGTTTTCTCCAAATCTTTGAAGCAATTGTTGAATCTGAGTTAGGAGAACATTTTGTTTTTCCTTCAACTCATTGATTGTTGCATTCTGATCAAGAATTTTGGCATTTTGGCTTTTTAGTTGAAGTACTAATTCTTGTGTTCGTTTTTCATTCTCAACCTTTTCAGCTTCTAAAGCAAATTTCAATTCCAATTCTTTGGAACTACTTGGCTTTACTCCATAACCAAGTCCACGAATGTAACTGTATTTTGAATTTAAAACTTTTTCTAAAATTTGACGTTCGTTCACTTCAATGCCTTTTTTAGTTTCTTCAACTAAGATTGTTCTCATTTTTGCCTGCAAATATAAGTGAAATCAATCAAAAGGTTGAAATATTTAATAAATAAAATTATATTTGATACAAATAAAATCTTACATAGTTCTCTTCAGCTTGTTGGTTAACCCATGTTCCATCTTTTTTATGATGCGAATCATAATACAGTCTCATTTCAGCAGGCTCGATATTTGACTCTTCTGAATGGTTTTCAATATTTTCTTGGGTATTCTCTTAAATTTAGTAAATTAAAAAATATCAAACATAATATTGAAGAAGAAAATGTAATTTATAACTTCTTTTATTCTAAATAAAATACAAAATAAATAAATAAATTCAGAACATACCAATTCATAAATTCGTTGGACAAATGATTTTGAACCTGAAGTATGTGGAATCCTCATTTTCCCCCTGTTGTTCTTATTTGCTTTACTTTGACGCTACATATATAATACCTTTTTTTTATTTTATTTCATTAATAATACATAATTAATCAATATAAAAAAATATTTTACCTGAAATTTGTCACTTTCAAAATGCCTACACATGTTCTTCCAATCATCTATCTTCACATCGCTAGGAGGGTTAGCTTGTGCTTCTTCTAAAGAAGTAAACTTCTTGAAATGCATATGACATTTTTGTTTAAAGGATGTAAACGCCTTGCCATAATTTTATCTATAACTTTTTTTGTATGTGGATCATCCAAAGGTAAGTCAAATTCATCCTATAAAAAAATTAATAAAAATATAGTATTTTAAGAATGTAAACATAATAATATTAATAAAATTTTAAAAAGTAATGGTTAGCAATATATCTACCTTAATTTTCTGGAACATAGGTACTTTATCTTCATCATTCACATCCTTCCAATAAAATACATTAGCTGGTACAAAAGTTTGAGTGGTAATTCCTACCTCCATTTTAAGTAGACGCTCATCATCACCAACTGGTAAATGCAATCCTTTTTCTATCTTTACACCCTTAATTTGACCAGTTTGTTTCAATCGTTTTTTACCTCAAATCCTCTAGCCACTCCACGACCTTTTTTTGTCATAACTATATATATATGTACACATATAAATATAAATATATGATTATGATAAATTAATATTTAAGATAAAATATAAAAATGTAGATGAATTTAGGTGGTTGACACAACTTACCTTCATTATTCAATGATTCGATTGGTGTTGTCTCGCTTGTCATATTTTGCAAGTTTGATGGTAATGATCTTTGATCGGGCATAATGTCAATACTTTCATTGACGAAAATAACATTTCCTAAACCTATCAATATCATAATAAATGAGTGATAGAAAAGATAATAAATAAATTATTAAATAAATAATAATAATAGTAATTACGAACATTGAAAATAAAAAAAAAGTCTTATACCCAACTGTTAAGAGACTATTACTTTAACGACAACAAACAAGAACCTAAACAAATTAAAAGTTTCTATAAATATGAGCAATAACATGAAAACCCTTCTTACACTCAAACAAACTAGGACAAAGACTTATTAATAAAGATTCATGTAAGTTGTCACCTTATCTTAATAATCTATACGTCAAAATCAATAGTAGCAGATTTAACATTTTTAAAATATGGATCCAAAACTATTGAATATGCAAGTGAAGACTCTGTTTGATTTTTTTTAATGTAATACAAAATAGGAATTACAATAATTAATTAAGCTTAAATCTCCATAAAAAATTCAACTTGAATGAATATAGAACATGGTTTTTCTAACCAACAAAACAATGAACACAACATATTACTCATGTTTGAAAGATCATACGTAAATGTTTGAAAGAAAAACAAATCTGAATGGTAAAGTCTTTGTCAGACAACAGGACGAATTCCCCAATATTTTAATAAGAACAATGACAGCTAAAAGGCTTGAAGTTGAGAGAATATTATAATAGGTAAATGGAGATTAAAGCAGAAGAAAATCATAATTAATGGAGCCGAAACAGTCCAAAAAAGATGTCTGCTTTTGAGGAGCGGAAAACATATGCAAATGCGAATGCATGCTGGTGTACCATGGTGCCAAGAGTAAGTAGAATCTCTCAATTCCTACATTAAATTCTAATTACATAAATCCAGTAGTGCCAACAATCATTGTTTCACCTTCTACTACAATTCAAACCCACAAGGGCATTGAACCCCAATTCAAACCATTATTTTCTAATAAACCACCCTCATTCTAGCTTTCCACCTTTCAAAGTAACTAGTTCCACCCTCAGTCTAGTTTTTGTATTTCCAGAGGAAAGGGTGAAGGTTGCGTGGCCACCCTCAACCCTATTTTTTCTTTTATTTCAATCGTTACTTTTTGTGAATACTGGGAACCAAATAAACTATGTTCATGAAAGGTTTTACAAAGCCATGAATTATTGCCAATAACTTATAAATCAAACATGGTAAAAAAATCTAAAATTAACAGCTAAAAATAAAATTAAAACCCTTACCTTGATTGTTGATTGTCACATAATTTGTATTAGATTTTGAGGGTTTAGGATCACCCACAATCTCTAAGATAGCTCTCACTCTCTTTCTTTTATACATGATTGCCTAGAAAAACAACACAAATATAAACCATAAACTATAGATCATATTAGATTAGATCAAATATAAAAAAAAACTCACTGTTTTTTTTTTGCCTTTCTTTTCCTTCACGATGAAAGAAAAAAGATGAAGTTGAGATAATGGCGAAAATAGTTATACTGTGCTTTTTAAAAAATATTTATATAATAAATATAAATAAATTTCTCTAAAAACTACTTTCCCTCTAAAACTCAATTTACTTTAAAAGAAAAAAGAGGGAAATTTCCCTCTTAAATTAATTATTTATTTTAAAAAAATATTATTTAATAATAAATATTGAAAATCTTAGTCTGGTATATTTAAATTGATCTAATGTTTATATTCAAGACTACTTTTATGACTTAATATTTGTGCACATCCCCTCTTCAGGGCCTTTAGGCTTGGACGAGTAGTTCAACCCTTGAATAGATCTTACCTATCATTGACTCACTAATGATAGGACC